AAGCCTCCAAGGGCAAATTTGATTCATTTGAGGCAGGGGTTGAAATGGGTGCCATAAGAAGAGGTGTCCCAGAGCCACTGCCACCTGCCCCCACAAATGAAATTTTCATGTGATGCGACGGCGGCGCTAGCTGGTGCTAGCTCGTTGGTTCACTTATCCGAAAAAAGCATCACTCAGATTCAGATCTCTGTGGATCTCTTTGGGAACACCTTTCACATCGTGCTTCGATGGCATTGACATCAATGCTCCAATGCGGTGCCACCAACTGAGTTCAACTGCGCTCGGTCCAAAGTCCAAAATTCTCTATATCTGGGAGCGGTCATAGTCATTAGGTTTCCAATGGATCACGAACAGGTGAATATAATGGGAGCGGTGAATATCACTAACAGGCATTTGTCTTGGGTTTTCCTCATCGGTGTTCAGTTCAATGTATGCTCAATGTATGACGTACCTTTTCAATGTATGACCTTGGACGGAGCAAACATTCCAGAAATGCATGCAATCAGAATCAGCTCAGCTATACTGGCAACTGGGCTCAGCTGATCTTCTCCCACCATTGACTCCTTTGATCTATGAGCCACCAGTTGTTGCTCCAATACACATACTCATTCCTGGCTGGTGATTCATATACAATGTATATTTAATGTTTATTTATATGATACAACATAAATAGGCATTGCTGGGATTAGCAAAAAACCTTTGAAACGGTTAAGAGTCAAGTCAAGAGTCGGCAGCTTCATAGAAATGTAGTCATGCACACTCGGCATCTCTAGCGCCGCCCGGTGGTCCCACGCCAGCCGGAAAGCATTGACCAAGTGCGTCAGCAACTGCAAGAAGGGAGCTAGGCGCTGCTCCGACATGCCTGGCACCCTCTGCCCTCGAACATTGAACTCAAAGGCTTTGAGGATCACATAAAGTCATCCTCACGATCGCATGAAAATGGTCTGGTTCAAGTTCAAATGCTCCCTGGGATCATGAAATCCTGAAATACATTCAACATCATTCAACAAATATTCAATTTTGTCCAAGAAGCGTTCATTGGAGGCTACATGGAAGAACTCAGGCATAGTCAATGCAAACAAGCACTTTACGTGGAAGTGGGCGCAATTTCTCAAATTCCCGGATTGGCCATCTTCTTCAATCTGTGGGTTTTGCGTGGTGCATTTCCTGAGAACACTGAGAACACAAACAAGAAGCGATTAGGAGCAAAGGGCATCGCTACTAGGAACATAAAAGTTTAAAAGTGGAGTCAAGTCAATACAATACTCATCTCCAGACTCTAAACTAGAGTTCTATAGTGTCTACTAATACTAAATACTAAAAACGCTGTTAAAGCACAGCACAGGCTCCAATCTCTAAGCTCAGCTTCTATCGGGTTTTGAAGGCAACGCTTCACGGAAAGTAGAACTCTGCACCAAAGTTCACGGCTCTGGATCGTCGGCGATTGCGGCGCTGGCTGGGCCTTCGCCCATGGAACAATTGCTTGCTGCTGGGCCATCAGAATCGGGTGACACGCGTCCTGCCTGCCGTACGTGTCCTTTGGAACTTGAGGCAGTCAATGGCTCTCAGACACCTCCTTCCCATTCAGCCCGAGTTGAACATGGACGATAGGGTTGTCTATCCTTCACCGGAAATCTATCTTTTAAACTTCAGTGGAGGGGTGTGACTGCAACCTTCCACAGAGCCTGGGTAATGACATCAGCGAAGGATACCGCACAACATTGTTGGTGTTCTCTTTGTGGGTGAGCTGGCTGACGACCTTGATCCTTGCTTTAATCTGGGCACACTACTAACTATTCGAACAACGGATGAAAATGTCCATCACACGAGCACGTCACCGGCGGCAGCGATTGACTCGTTTTGTCCAGTGTCCAGTCGTCACGCCAGCGCACCTGGTGGAATCTCTTCGCAAATCTCCACTGCAACGCTGCGACAGTAGCCTTGGCGGGCGCATTAGATGGAAGGGATTGCCGCTGACTGACTGAAAGTACTGCCGAGTTGTGATTGCATGATTCAGCATCCGGATCGTGGACAAACCAAGTTTTGTTTCAATTTAGTCTTATGTTTGGTCACCCATGAGCGGTCCGCAAAACATATGCTTTAAAGTCCAAAACAACGTCTCAAGAGAGCCTGAGGGAGAAAGAAAGCTATCTAATATCTAATATCCAATATCAGTCTCATATCTAATATACAATATCAGTATCTCTGAACACTCTTTGAAGACTTGAAGACGCAAGTAACTTGACTCAACGTTCAAAGTCAGTCAGAGTCAAACTACTACTCCACCGGAAGCCTGGCTCCTGACTCCTTACCACACAAGCCTCCCGCGAAGCAGTGAAAGTCGGCGCATGTGCACCTGCTCCGGCAAGCGATTGAGAGCATGTGACTTAGACTTAGACTTGTGTAGACTCTGAACAAACAATGTCTCTTGAGCCAATGAGCCCTCTCTGTGGTCGGTGCTTGAACAACAGAGCGCGCCTGGTGGAATCATCTTCGGCAAATCTCCCACTGCGACTGCAGCCTTGGCGGGCGCACCGGCATTGGCTCACAGCTGCCCCTTGTAAACGACGGGAAACTGAGAGAAACACATCTGAATCAGAATCTGGATCTTATTCTAGATTGATGGAAGGGATATCCCGGGATAGCCTCTCAAAGTACTGAATGGAGCACCCTATCCTAAGCACACCCTATCCTAAGTGTGTGGTGTGTTGTCACTGTCACTGTGTAGTAACAAAAACTGCATAGGCAACTTGGCAACTTGAAGTCAAATACTGGACACAGCATTCAGCATCCGGATCGTGGCCAAACCAAGCAAGTTTAAAATTTAGTCTTGTTATGTTTGGTTCATGTTTACTGTGTAATCAGCGTATCTTCTCATGAGCATCCCGCAATACATAGAACTCTTCGATGGGCCGCATTCACAACAGTGTCCTCAAAACAACAGAGCTGGCTACTAGGTGAGGCGGCTGATCTCTTTTATACTCAATCGTGTGTTTCTTGGTAAAGGAACAAAAAGAGGCCTAAGTTTTTGTATTCACACCTTGGCAAGACTCTTTTGTCTCGGCAAACTTCTCAAAGACAACTCCTTCTCCCAATCTTTCACATATATATATATATACATACCACATACTGTAATTAGAACAGCAAAACAAAGAAACATCCAGTCACTGATGACTGATGACCTCTTCAATCTCACACCTCTCCAACCCCACCATACCCACCCCCACCACCCAGCACCCGAGTCCTTTTAAAGGACCCCCGGCCGGCGCCCGGCCCAAACCCCCCGGCCGGCTTGAGCCACTGAGCCACTAGAGGGATCTGGTCTTAATTCCTAAGGAAGCTTCTAGTTACTAGTTACTAGTAAGCTGATTCCTTAGCCTTGATTTTCGGTGAGTGAAGTGCAGTCACTTAAACGATTGCTCTGCTAAAGTCTATTGTTCGTTCTTGTTCAGTGTATTGTTCGCACGTTGTTCGGACAATGCTCGTACACCTTTCCACGCGACCCTTTCCCATGCATACAAAAATCATTGGAAAAAAACATATGCTCCAAAGTGCTCACGTGTTAAGCCGGCAAGCAAAAAAGCAAGTCTCGCCGGAATTAGTACCTCAAGAGCCTTCCCTTTTGTTTTCCGTTCATTTAGGATCTCCAGATTCTCTTACAGTACCTATATTTCTTTGTGCTGGAATGTCTGTGCTGGATGGAGTCTTCCTTTTTTAAACTTTTTAATCCACTTGCCAGGTCGCACAAGTACTTGAGCTTGAGCTCAAGCATGTCCCAGAGCCGAGAGAGCACCTTGAGGTGCAGATGGTGGGGGTTGGCATTGGAAGGGCACCACGTACCAATCCATCCGAAAGCCAGGCTAATTCCAAGCGTTCCAAGCAAGTTTGCCTTCTGTCAAGATCGTCTCGTCTCCGATGGTCTCGTCTCCGATGGTCTCGTCTCCAAGCAAATATGCCACTTCACGGTTGACCTTCTAAGCAGCGACCAAAGCAAAAGACAGGAGTGTCTTTGAGACAATTGTTCCGAGTGACAACAGAGCAGAGAGAGAGAGAGGGATAAAAAAAGACAAGGAATTCGGAAAACCTGAAGAAGGGCACTCAACGAGGGAGAGCACTTGTTTGGCCGGATTTGTCGTGAGGCTGATGGAGTTGGGCGCAGACATGAAGCTGCAGAGGTTGAGCCTAGCTTCTGCCTGACTGAGATCCGGATCCAGCGATTTTTGTGCTTGTGTGGACATGATTTGTTCCTATGCAAACTGGCCAAGCATGCAAATGATAATGACCCGAAGGTGGCTGAACATTGCCCGAAGGGCTGAGGTGCCACCCGAGTAGTGCAGGAATCGTAGAAATTCACTCAGTCTTTCACCCGTAGTGGTGAGATCTGGAGCAGGGCTGGGCAGCAATGTGCACAGCTTTTCGATGTCTTTACCTGTAGTGAAGTGGCTTGGGAGAAGTTGATGGTTCCTAAGCCTGTGAGAGATCCCACCTGGGTGCCAAATTGAGTCGTGAGTGCTTGGCCATTCTTACAACTCTTCTCTATGCTACGAAGTGGAATGCTGCCACAGCTTAGGGCTTAAGGCTTAAGGTATCCCCACTGGGATTTGCAAAGCCTGAGCATGATTGAGCTACATGTCTTTGAATGTATCGTCATACTCGATTTTGACCATCCAGGGCTTTTGCTTGTGCAATGCAGCTCATATGGCAAAGCCAAAAATATGAGTTGAACGCATTAGCCACACTTCTGACTTTGGGCAGGGATTGAGTGACACTTCCCAGAATACATACTACTAGTAGATCTAGTGGATCAGAGTGGGACTTCTCCATGGAGCTTGAAGGCATTGAGGACCGCCTTATAGTGCAGTATTGAACTTGATGCGAGGTTGCACGTCATTTTTGAGGCATGTCGGCATGTACATTAATATATATATATATATACATACAGGAGTATCCAATGGCTCTTGATTTTTCCTTTGCTGACAAGACCTGTACCATGCAAGGTGATGCAGCGTCGCAACGTGAGGCAGTTCTTCGTCCTTGGAGGCCTGATTCAGCCGACCTGACCGGTCAGAAGACATGATGAACTCTTGTTTGCATGTCCCAGGTGATGGTACGCACAAAGGTGCAAGGACCTTATGAGCCGTGCAAGTTGGATGTGGCTGTGCTGTGCTGATGTCATGTGCCAGTTGTTTTGTTGAGATAACCTGGGCCTTCCATGCCCACAGCATCCTGTACTGAAGGCCATGCAGGCATTTACCTCCATGACTGCCATCAACCATGAGCCGGTCACCTACAACTTTGTTCCAAAGCTTTTCACAAGTGCATCGCTACTAGTAACAAGTGCCTTATACTGGTAGTAACAAGAAGCTACTAGGAACAAGTGCATCACTACTAGTAACAAGTGCCTTACTGGTAGTAACAAGAAGCTACTAGGAACAAGTGCATCGCTACTAGTAACAAGTGCCTTACTGGTAGTAACAAGAAGCTACTAGGAACAAGTGCATGGCTACTTGTAACAAGTGCCCTACTGGTAGTAACAAGAAGCTACTAGGAACAAGTGCATCGCTACTAGTAACAAGTGCCTGCCTGGTAGTAACAAGAAGCTACTAGGAACAACTGCGTCGCTAATAGTAACAAGTGCCTTATACTGGTAGTAACAAGAAGTTACTAGGAACAACTACATCGCTACTAGTAACAAGTGCCTTACTGGTAGTAACAAGACGCTACTAGGAACAAGTGCATCGCTACTAGTAACAAATGCCTTACTGGTAGTAACAAGAAGCTACTAGTAACAAGTGCCTTACTGGTAGTAACAAGAAGCTACTAGGAACAAGTGCATCGCTATTAGTAGCAAGTGCCTTACTGGTAGTAACAAGAAGCTACTAGGAACAAGTGCATCGCTACTAGGAACAAGTGCATCGCTACTAGTAACAAGTGCCTTACTGGTAGTAACAAGAAGCTACTAGGAACAAGTGCATCGCTACTAGTAACAAGTGCCTTACTGGGATTCACAAGAAGCTACTAGGAACAAGTGCCTTACTGGTAGTAACAAGAAGCTATGAGTAACAAGTTGAGACGATGTCTCTAGCATCGACATTTGTGCTTGTTCGGACCGTTGGCCTCACTTGCCTTCGTTGATGCTTGTAAGGCCCTAAGGTTTTGAGTTGTAACTTGTGTCACGTGTTTCATATGACTTGTTGTCAGATTATACTTAGACTTAGTCGTCTACTCCAAATTTTAAACCCTTGTTGGGACAGCAGAGACTTAAACCCTTCGCAGACCTCCAATGCATTCCAAGGTAATTCTAACCAGGAACAAACTCCAAACTCCACGAGACCACAAGCGAGAAGTTTCAACATAATTCTATACCGACAGAAATGACAAGGCAATGAAAAGGACTTCAGACTGTTCGGAGGGCCGAGGGGAGGCTGCAGGCCGCACTTGTAGGAGTAATGTCAGCTGAGGTGTGCAGTGGTAGGCGTGCCAAAGACCATCGACAATGACATCACCCTTGTGGACCGAACATGGTGGCTCTTGTTGATCAGTAGCCCAGCTTAGCCTGAGACACTTTAAATACAGGTGTTTTCATTAAGCGGATGAAGTTTAAAGCTGCGTACTTGTTGGCAAATGAACATGTCATCTCAGCCCGCAGTGTTACAATTGGCTCTTGCAGGATCAGACCTTTGGATTCGACACAGCATGTACTGAGGTGGGTAATCATTGGTGGAGCTATGTCTTGAAATGTCTCTATATATATATAATCAGGATATTTTGTTGCAGGATCAGATTGGCTCTTTCCTTCGATTGTGGAAATTGACTCCTAGAATGAGCAGATTGGTGACAGCAAAGAGAAGCAACTCTTGCCTTTTGGAGTGTTTTTTTGCATGTCCCTGCCGCCTGCCGGTCTCCAATGTCCAGGCACGGAAGGCGATCGACTCTGCCTATGTTGAGGCCACCACCAATGCCAACTGCATTGGACTGGTGAAGCTCATGGGTCAGGGCACTGAGTTTCGGGAAGAATCTGCCAAACTCATGGCAAAAAGTTTTCGGGAGGGCCAGGGCGGCCAGGGTTGTGCATCATTTGCGGTGGGATTTGTTTTAGGGTGAAACCGAAGTGTTTTTGAGATGTTGAGAATATTTCAGAATCATGGGAACCTCACCAGAAGCAAACAACATGTCGCATGAAGGACAAAAGTTTACCATTAGGTTGGGGGGCCATCGCTACTAAGATGGAGGCCATCGCTATTAGGTTGTAGGCCATCGCTACCAGAGTGGAGGCCATTGCTACTAGGTGGGAGGCCATCGCTACTCGGTTGGAGGCCATCGCTACTCGGTTGGAGGCCATCGCTACTCGGTTGGAGGCCATGGCACCAGGGTGGAAGCCATCACTACTAGGTTGGAGGCCATCGCTACTAGGGTGGAGGCCATCGCTACTACCAGGGTGGAGGCCATCGTTGGTTGGAGGCCA